GGAAGCTGCATTTGTGGAAATAACTTCTGAAGTTGAAAACTTACTTCTGTTAAGTTCTACTTCACGACTTGTGTTATTATGATTCTAAGACTATGCTCTCAAAACTCTGGGGATCGCTTTCCACCTTAGATTCTTTCGTTAATACTTTAAACTGCTATTAGATTGACAAAGAAGAAGGACAATTCATTAGTGAAGAGGAATGAAGGATGTAACTCATACCCTTTGCAGCAGTTGTCCGTTCCACCAGCCTTCACAAAGAGGGGTTCTTCCTCTCCAGTGCTGAAGAGAAGCAAAAACTAATGTCGTCAGAATGGTTCATGAGTTCTGACTTTGTCTTTAAATAAATCATCCCGGATTCTAAGCTGTGCTATCCAGACAACTTCAGTTCAATGCTGTGACAGTACTTACCAATCGACCCCTAGCCCTACAGCTGCCTCAAGACACGGGAGCAGCAAGGCAAAGCCTGGATTTCGGGTGCGATGCCAGGAACAATGGAAATCTTTACGTTTGGTTTCGCTAAACGAACGAAACACAAAGGTCAGGAGAAGGCTGCCCTAACGGGACACGGTCTTCCCTCTGCAAGCGCACGTGTCCGACGCACACAAAACCAAAACCAAGGCGCTACCCCGGTCTCGGGCGTTTGCTCTCTCTGCCGATTGCCTGGGTTGAGGCATCCTTGTCCCTCTCCTGTTGCTCTCCCAGCAGTCACGGCCTGGTGCCGGTCCCCTGCTCGGTGGGCACAGGGCGCCTCCTGCCCGCGCCCAGGCCAGGCGGGAGCCTCCTCTGCCGGCGTTTGCTGCGTCTACACTAGAGGGCTCTGCTGACCCAGCGATGGGGACCAGGCCCCACCTGGAGCCGCCTCGCCAGAGCCCCCAGCTCGCCTACCTGCCACAAAATCACCGGGGTGTGCAGGATGAAGGGCTCTGCGTTACAGCAAGACGTTACAGGAAAATACTTCATCGGACTTTGGAGATGGCAGAACTTCATAATGTTGAAAGTTTTACGGGCAAAAAACAACAAGGCTTCAAGGTTCCTCCCCAATTACTGCAGCTTTGAAGTAGCAACTTTCACCCTGTAGTTGTTGGAACGCTCCCTCTCCTTGCAGTAAAGGGATTTTCAAGGCGCCAACGGCTCAGACCAAGGCTCCCAACCGTTTCCAAAGGGAAGGCGCTGGTGATGAGGTGCGCAGACAAACCTCACCCCACGGTGAGCCCAGCAGCGCTGCCACCATCTGCATTCTTCTCCAACTTGCCTGCCTTGTCCTTCTCACAGATTCACAGTACCGAGGCCAGAAAAGATCATTAAATCATCCGGTTCCTTAAAGAATAAGGTCCCAGGCATTTTGTCCAGCCGTTTTCTGCCTTTGTTCTCTCAGCCTTCACCTCCGCATCCTTCTTTTCTCCGTAACTGCTGCTTTTGTCTTCCCACAGCTTTCTGTGTGCCACGTCCAGCTCTTGAGTGCGTAGACAGGGATGCGGGTGGTTACACAGGTGGGTCATGCACGGGGCACTCTCCCAGGTGCCTGTGAGAGGCAGAGAGTCCCTTGGGCCACCACATCACTGCCTGAACCTCCGGCACGTTGGGACTAGAACAGCAGTGAGAGCAGGAAAAAAAACTCTGAGGAACCCCTAACGCCGCCAAAAAGCTGCAGATTTCTTGACATCTACCAGTCTATTTGCTACAACTTCTGCCCGCTGCCCTGTCAATGGCTTGGTCCATGCTGAATGGCTGCAGAACACAGGCCCAGGCCTACCCACAAGGTCTCCCAGGAAGAACTCAAAGCACGCTGCTGCTGGGGAACCAGGGACAGCAAATCTGTCCTTCACTCCCGGGGAGAACACAGGCACCTCTGCCTGTCCTGCCCCTCTGCGGCCTGAGGAGCAGCAGGACAAGTTGGGTCCAAACCTTCACACAGACAAACCGAGGGCCCAGATACAGGGGGACTCTCCCCAGTACAGGGTCTTCTTCCACTTCACTTCCCTCAAGGAATCAGGCACAAACTCTAAACCAGTACAAAAATCCCCTTTCCTGCCTCAGAAGACAACTTAAAGATTTTCAGCTGTTCATTTTTCTTCCAGATGACTTTAAAATAGCTAAACCAATCACTGGGAGAAGAGCCACACCGAAGGACCTCGGGTGTCTCCTTGGACGACGTGGTCGTAGATGACAACAGGGAGATAGAGATCTGTCTCGACAGGCACGCGTGTCGTGGTGCCTCCTGGGTAGGCCTGAAACAGAACATGACAGACAGCCGGTCAGGAGGGAGAAAAGGGCAGGGTTCTGGCTGAATCGCCCTCCTCCTTCCTGTGGAACATCACATGTGATGGATGCACCAGCTCGGAGAGGGGGAGAGCAAAGAGCAAAACCCAACACCGGGAACTCTGTTTCTCCCGCAATGCTTTCAGCAGATGCCAAGACAGCGACGGAGCTATTTTGGCTAAATAACGGCAGAAAGAACGGGACCACGGGCACGTCAAGGAGAAGCTCAGTGTGCTCACACCAGGCAGCCGGTGCCAACCCTGTTCAAGCTGATCCCAGTGAGAGTGAACTCGTGCCAACTGCGGCCTGCTCAATGCAAGCACGTCTCAAAAGCTCGTTCCTGACAGAGACCAGGGTCTCAGGGGACCCACAGCCCCGTGCCCGACACACGAGGACGTGTCACGTAGACGCTGTGGAGCTGGTTACTGGGTACAGATGTTCTGCAGCTGCAGGACGCCGCACTGGTGGCCCGCTCTCTGCGCGACCAAACACATTTTTAGGAATGCATTTTTGAATGTCGCACAAACCAATGCGCTTATTTTGAAACGCATATAATTTGATATTTCGTGTTGTTACTATTCATACGCAATGGTCTCTCATGGGAAGCACATCAAAGAAACCATCATCCGGGATCAGTTCTGTAGAAACCCGAACAAATTACTGCCTAGTGTAGCTCACGTTGGTTTGAGCGAAACCAAAGCCTGGGTGTGTTTGTCACATCCAATCTACAGCCAAGGACCTCAGCTGAGAAGTCTAAAACAGCGCGGTTGGCACCAGGGGAACACAGCCGGTTTCTCACCGAGGGAAGCTGCTGTAACGTTATTGCTCATTCAGATCTCAATAGGAAAGATAAAATACCCACGGCATTTTACCCAGCTTTAGACTGTGGCTGAAAATGGAGTGTCCTGTATGGCTTGAGCCTTTGCTTTGCTTGTGTTCAACTGGAAATACATGTTAGAGACCAATGAATGTCACCACTAATAGGATCAGAGCCACGTGAATGTTTGTGCTGTCCACAGTACATGAGAGACACAGAGCCCCCGGCATTCACAGGTAACACCACGACTGCGGCACAAGTCCTTTCCTTTCTGTTCTGACACTGTAAACCCTTCTGAACCGTGCACTGTGTGCTGCACAAACGCAGCTGCCCACAGGAGGATGCACCTCGTGTCACGTTCAGAGTCCACATTCGACCCTCAGACCAGTGACAAGAGCCAAATGACTTTAACGGGGCCGCTTTCCTTGCGACTGCTCAAGTCTTCTCAAGGGGCTCTGTTAACAAGGGGAGCACCATATCCGAACACTGGACGTGTGTTGATAAAGACACGACTTGCCATTGGACTCAACAGTTTAGCGAACTCCACCGCATTAAGGAAATAAAGAATATTGGGGGGGAAAAAAGACATTTACCTGGGGATTCACATCAATGATTTTCCTATCACTTCTGTTCCTGAAGAGCAGTCCACGGGCGTTTTCTGCAATCACTTGGTAATTTGGGCTGGAATTTGAAGTGCTGACAGTTGTATCCCAGTTGTAAAAGCTGTGGAAATGTGAGACAGAAACGCTGCGCTGTTAATGGATGTTGTTCTTCCAGCCCCAGGGGAAGGTCCTGACCCCCTCATCCACAGCGGGCAGTTGGGACCCCACAGCAGCCCCTCCGAGAGCCAGACCTGAGGAGCAGAAGCCTTCTACAAATGAGAAGCCCTGCTCAAACCTGGTTCTACACAACTGATCCCCGGCCCCACGCATTCAGTGCTCGTGTTATTATGGATTCGGAGCCCAGGCTGTGCCTAGCGGGAAGCGGTGGTGCTTGAGAACACTACTGCAATGGAAGCAGCCCTGGAGACCCCTGGAAGCGCTCCCTGGACACCGCAGTCTGCAGACCAACGTGGGACCGACGGCTTCCCTCTGCCTCTCGCTGGAACTCTCTCCCTGCCTCTGTTCCCCTCTCTCTTGTTTTTAACAGCTCCGGTAGCAAGGATTCTGGGAGGTCTCCACGTGGGTCAGATGCAGTGCGAAGGGCTGAACCCAAACTCCCCAGAGTGCTGCAGGTGTCAGGATTAGTTCAGGAGTTCAGCCCTCTCTCACGTTTTGCCCTGCAGGGACCGCAGGCAGCCCCTGCTCACGACACCAGCTCCTGCTGCCTGGCTGCTGCAGTAACCACGGCCGACATCAGGGCCCGGGGAGCCCTGCCTCAGCCGCCTGTCGTTCCCTAGAACAAAGAACCTAAACCAAAGTTCAGGAGGAAGTGCTATTTAAGGGTTACTGACACGCCAATCTAACCAAACTGACTTTTAGTAGCAGAATTCCATGTGGCTTTAGGTATCCAAATCATCCAGAGCTGAAAACACGCTATCAGATGAACGCGATCAAATGCCAAACACAGAATCTGCAGGCACGATTTTTCCTGTTGTGATCTTGTTTGACTACCATGTGTGTTGGAACCACTGCAGCAGTTCTCAGCACGGCACCGAGGTATGTGGAGAATGAGGCTCCGCAGTGCCCGCAGCGCAGCTGCACGAGGAATGCGCCGAGGGTTGGTTTGGGGTTTGGCTGCTTCTGAGGACAATGACTTGCTGGTGCGGTGGTATGTAACAAGCAGCACACTGTGTTTGGGAACACAGACCGAAACACGCGGGGCGGGTTGACTCTCATTCATCAGCTAATTCTGGCCTGAGCAGATTTCCACTCTGCAAGCAGGCAATGCCCCGGCTTTTGTAACCTCCAAGGTATCCTCCGGGTACGGAGATGGCAGCAGATCAAACCGCAAGGCGCTCACAGAACGCCTCTCATCCAAAAACCCCTGGGTCCTCCTGCAAACACGCATTAACCTACCTGATGCTCCCGCCAGACCAAGGCAGGATTCGTCACCACTCCTCAGTGCTGGGGCAGCCAGGGCACCACAAGCACCGCAGGTTTTACCCCGGACACCAGGGCCGATGGCAGAGCAGCAGCTCCCAGCGCCAGTCCCAGCCAGGACACGGGGCCTTTGGCTGGGGTCCTGTGGCCGCTCACGTCTGGAGAGCGGGACAAGCCCCTTCCCAGGGACAAAGCCTTGGAAGGGTTATGGACTGGATTAGGATGCCTCAGTGTGACTCTCTCCTTTTTCCCCTATTCCAAAAGGGAAGGAGCTGCGATGGAAGGGCAGCTCCCACCGCTTGTCCTGGGGCTGATGGAGGGCAGTCCCCCCCTGACCAAAGGAATTGGGGGTGCACATCTGCAGGGCAAGAGCTCTGCTGTCCAGACTTACCACTTACTGGTTAAATCTCTAATGCAGGGGCAGAGAGCGCTGTGTGAAGGTGTTTGTGTCTGTGCCAACTCCACTTAGATCCCATGGGCTCGGACTGAGGAATCCCATCCCTTCTTCCCCTCGGGCAAGGACTGGCTCCCTGATTCACTTCCCTGCTTTTCTCCACTCACCCACACATGCACAGAGACAAAACCATTCCCTGCAGCAGACTAGGACCTCAGCCAAAAACGAATTATGAACAGCGATGGCTCAACAGGGTTGCTGGTTTCTCCCTACATCGAGGAGGAAAAGGAGCGCGATGTGCAGAAAGGGCAGAGCCCGCTCGAAGCAGGACACAGCGACACAGCACTGCGGTGGCTGTTGTACTGACACACGGACAGAGCGGACAGCGGGACATGGTCTGCAGGGTCGGGGATCCCCAGGGTGACACTGAGCATTCCGGTGTCGGGGACTGTGCCATCCGTGCCCCACGGAGAACAGGCAAAGGCGGCAACACAGCACTCAAGAGATGCGCTCTCCCCGTCAATGTAAAGGGATTTCACTGCATGCTACAGATAACAACAACCACAGCGACCTTCTCAGAAGACACAACCTAAAAACAACTGCTTCTTCTAGCTCACCTTAAACCTCTTTCTGGAAATATGCCCACCATAACGTACGAACACATAGTATTGAGGGCATATCACCAAACACTTGACTCTGATTGTTTTGAATTTGTCTCACGTTTGTAACTCTCACATGTTTTAAGAAATTCACTGAAGAACAGAGGGGATTGGTTCAGCACAACCGCGAGAATGGGAGTGGATCCCATTCCCTGCGCACCCTCCAAAGCCGAGGTGCTTTCGTGTCTGGAAAACACCGTGATTCGGAGAGAAAGAAAACCGGAGAAACTACAAAAGCTGCAAAAACTCCCTTTGTGCCAAAATCTGCTGATGCTTCTTGAAACAAATCCTCGTTTGAAGTTCCTGGGGAGTTCTCTCACACTCAGGAGCAAGAGGGAACGGCTCTTATTTAAGTACGAGTAGTGTTTTTCACAGCATAAAAACAGCCACAGCCACAGTGGTCTTTGACACAATGCACAAAAAAACGCCCAAAAAACTCCTTGACAGCCACAGCGAGAGAACTCCGTTTGCAGTCAGTGGGAAGGTGAAACAGCAGTTGTGACACCACCTTACACAGGGATGGCAGCGCCACAAACCCCAGCGACAGCGACAGCAGCAGGGCAGGGCTCGCACAACCACCACGGCAACGCCTCTCAGGACAGCGCGCGCGGGGCGTGCGCAAGGCAGACGAGGGTGAACAGCTTCCCAAAACACGGCAACAGCTCAGCGGTTCAACAGCGGGAAACTCCGGCCTACAGCAGATTAATAACTTCTTAGCAGTTTTAAATTAAAAGCAGAGCTATGCTGTTCCCCTCCCTAATGTTTTGAGATGAATTCTCAAATATTATGATTTATAACTGATGTAATCATTGGTTTTCCACATCTGCTTAATGTAGTTGAATGTTTTAGAGTACTGAAAACATGACACGTGTTGTATATACAACAGAACATTGCCGTGTCCAGCACTAAGAAAAAGGGACGTACATCCTCAACCAAAAGTTGAGAAAACTTACCGGATCCTGTGCGTCAAGACATGCAGGACACCACAGCCCCTGCCTCCTACATATAATATACAATTTGTCCCCTGTGTTCTTCCGGACAGAACTTCACAGGCACAGAACATGATATAGAATACTGAAGTATAACAGAAATTACGTACAATTACCATGTTGCAAGAAGCACTCGGGAGACACCAACACAGTGGACTATTAATGTGGGATCAGAGGAGGGAGCCGGTCACCACCCGCCTACCAAAGACAGCAAAGAGGCCGTCACCGTCCCAACCCGCAGGCGAGGCCAGGGACTCCCTCTGCCCTCCTGTGCAGGGTCACCGAGACAAAGGGACAGAGACCGAGCCTCGTCCCTCAGCAGCTCTGAAACCACACAGGAACCTCTGGACCAGCACCAGCACGCCCGTTCCTCATCCCTGCAGAGCATGGTTTAAACAAAGCGTTCAATGGCTTCCCTAGCTCCAAAGAGCACCAGGAACAGAACTCGTGTCCCCCACACCTGCAATGCCTGTCTGTGTTTCTCCCACCCACACTCCCGCTGTTCCTCAGGATGTGTTTTCAGTGGCTATAACGTGTGTGATGTGCCTGTGCGCAGCCAGCCATAAGTGTGTAACTCTGTGTGACCACACATCCACCCCAGCTTTGAACATCTCGGAGAGCACGGTACCCGATCCCGCAGACCTCGGGGTACAGGGGCGCAGCGGCGGGGGCTGGCCCGACTCCACGTCATTAGGGAGCACGTTCTGGCAGGTCACAGCGAGGCGCAGGCCTGGGGCAGGAGTTGGGACCCGGGGCAGGTGCGGGTGCACTGCCCGGACAGCGCTGAGACGCGCCAATCTGGCACGGCCAGGACCTGGTTTGGCTCCACGCTCGCGGCTCCCACATCCCAACCTGGTGACTCCATCGGCCTGGAATGCCAGTGCAGATCCACCTCTGCAGGCACTAAGAGAGGGGCCGGCAGGAGGGGGGCAGCCTGTTCAAATCTGACAGCGAGGGGAAAACACACCCTCCAGAAGTGCCCGATCAGCGAAAGGAATTAAGTCACTTTATGAGCTTGTGGTCACTTCCAGAGACACAATAAAACAACCCGTGGGACCCACAGAGCACCTGCAGTTAACTTGTCATCAGGTGCAGATATATGGCGTCCTTACTGCAGCAGCGCATTACAGTATTTCCTTAGGTTGGTCTCATACTTCAGCCCCTGGAAAAACACCAGAAGAATTTACTGGGGCCAGGGGACTGGGATTGCACTGAACGAGCACCGCTGGGATCACCAGGAACAGAGTGGGAACGGCACTGGATCACCGGGAACAGAGTGGGAACGGCACTGGATCACCGGGAACAGCACGGCACTGGATCACCGGGAACAGCGTGGGAACGGCACTGGATCACCAGGAACAGCACGGCACTGGATCACCGGGAACAGCGTGGGAACGGCACTGGATCACCAGGAACAGCATGGGAACCCCTGTCCATCGGCCACAGGTGGGGCTGAACGGCAAAACGGAAGCTATGGGAGCTGTGCCGTGGGCAGCCCCAGTGTGAGCTGCTGGAGCCCAAAGTAGGGAGCTCGGAGCACCCCCGGCAGCACTGCGTGACCGCTGTGTCGCTGTCACACCGGAGGGCACGCCACGGGGCTCCACCAGCACAGATCTGTGTTTCCATCAAAGCACAGGCACAGGGAATCCTTACAATGCTTCCCAAAGGAGTGTCCGGTCCAGCGAGCTCGTGGTGAGCATCTGTGAGTCAGAGGGGATGAGGAGGCAGCTGAAATTCAGGGACCAAGAAAACCAGGAAAGGATTTAAAACAAAAGCAAAGATGAGGAAAACCAAGTCACACACCTATCTATTGGATGAAGAGAGGGGAGGTGTGTGTCGGATGACAGGGAACAAACCCAGCCCTGTGAACAAGGACACGATGCTCTCTGTACCGTGCAGTTCTTCCATCTGAGACACATCGTTCCCCCTTGGCACTCAGCTCCCCTGTCCTCAGTGCAGCCCCCGGCTTCTCCCGAGGCTGACTCACAGCCCAGCTCCCATCTGCTCTGCATCAGCGCGGGTGCCTTCAGGATACCGTGAAAATGAACTCGCTATTGCGTATCCTGCAACGATTTTCACAAACGTAAACATGGACTCTAAAGTGCAAAAACCAACAAAAACTCCTGTCTCTCCTCCACTCCTCTTTTTTTCCAAGCAATCAATAGAACACGGAGAAATGCATCGCTCACCCACACAAACCCCTGTGCCCAGGCCCTGGTACCTGCCCCGGGAGGGTGCCCTGGCGGTGAGGAGGGCTTCTCCTACCGCTCCGTGCTGTGACCTTCCTCCACCTCTCATTATCCCTTGCAAGGCTGCCAGAAAGTCACAGTCACACTGCAAAAGAAGTTTTAACTGGAAATACCTCTTACTTCTGTTCATGACCAAATTGCTGGCAGCCCTCTGCCGCAGCACAGCAGAGAAGCAGAGTCAGTCTGGGGTACTGAGGGAGCTTTTCAGCCACATGTTTATTTCAAGACCCTGATTGCTCAGACCTCAGCGAGGATGTGGGAAATCCAGCTGCACATCCATCCCTCTTTAATTACTGGTGGAGCTAAGACAGGAGAGCTAGAAAAACGCCACCACAAAAGCCAGTAATCACCGAGCCATCCCGAGCCCACCAGGGGTTATTTTCTGCCTCTCCCTGCTCCTCTCAGTCCCCTCCATGTGAGGCACACCACCAGCTCTGGAAGCTTTGGGAGGATGTTCCCAGTCAGACCAGATCCCCGCACAGATCCCTGCCCTGGTACCAGTTCTGGGTGCTGATGTGGATCACCCACAGCTCCAGGCTGGGCACAGGAGCCGGGCCCCGCTCTCTGCGCTGGGCAGGCGCTGCTGACGGCAGCACACGGCGCCGCTGCGGTGAACCGCGCGTGTCCTGCTCAGACACGCAGCCGTACCTGCGGCACTGCGCTCACACAACTCCTATCCTTATCAGGGCAGCGTGGCAGCAGTTTGCCAGGACTTTCACCAGCATGCGGCCGGCAACTGGAGCAGGGACTGGACATTCCCACATCGACCCATTAAACTGTGGGCACGCTGCCCGCAGCCACAGCCACTTCCTGGTCTATGGGGAAGGAACAAGTGGTTTCTCAGACCCCCGTGCGTGGCACAACCACACCACCACCACGCAGAGCCCCCACTGACGCTTACAGCACAACAAACCAAAACCAGAGCTTCCAAAAAGCAGTCACAGCACTCTGTGACACTGCGGCTCCGTTATCACCCCCACTGGTGTGCATCACGAACAGGACGCGCTGCAGAACCGGTCCCCGGTGTTGAGGGAACCGGGAGGAGCCGCAGGCGCTGTCGTGCTCAGCTGCGCTGCTCGCACATCTGTCTGTGCATCGTAACGCTGTCTTCAGGCACGGAACGGTTGTGAATCACTGCTGCTCCCAAACTGCACCCGAGCTCACCCCACCACACGCCAGACGAGCACTTGGCCAACTCGGATTTTCCATAAGGTTTTCCTGCCGTTCTGTTCGTTGCAGGGATGGTGCGACTGCACTGACAGAAAGCACAACACAGCCTTTCCCCTGTGAGACATTTTTTTTATCTCCTAAGAATTTATAGTGACTGGCAGTTTCCATTTCCCTGTTTCAAACGTATGCAGTTAGTTTGTTCGAGGCTGTAAAAAGCCAATCCTTCCTCTAAAGAGACTTTATCTTTCTTGAGAGATTCAAGTTTGAATTCAAAAAAAGAGAGAAATTAAATGTGAAAAGTAACATTTGCTGTATTCAAATATAAGCCAGATGTGGAAGTATCCATCTCCAAATCAAACATGTACCAAGTTGGCAGCAGGGGGATTTTCTCCTCACACATGCAAACGCCGACTCTGAGCGTGCTCTCACATCCACCTACGCCTCGGTCTGCCGCACTGTCTGCCACTGCACTGCTGAAATCACCCCCTTCTTCTGCCCTGCCGCTCCTCCTGTCAGCACAGGACATCGCTCCATCCCAAAAAGGTCTGAACCTCCTGTACCCACAGGACATCGCTCCATCCCCAGAAGGTCTGAACCTCCTGTACCCACAGGACATCGCTCCATCCCCAAAAGGTCTGAACTTCCTGTACCCGCAGGGGCATCGTTCCAACCCCAAAAGGTCCGAACCTCCTGTACCCACAGGACTAATGACTAATCCCCTCTAAGACTGCAGACTGCACACAAAAACTGAGTTTGGATAAACAAGGTCAGCAGATGAATGCCAGCAGTCAACTCCCAAATTATGCCACCTGAGGCAAACGGACCAGCAGAGCAACTGGAGAAACGGGAGGCAGATCCAGCTCCGGTTAATGAACGAGTGCCAAACGCTGTGTCCACTCGCAGCCAAATCAGAGCACGGCCAAACTGCGAGGGCGCAGACACCGACGGGACGGGTCATGCAGTGAGACAGAGCAGCGTGCAGTGTCTGAACGCACCCAAGTCACCAGCGCTTCTGTCACACAACCCCACGCCAGGCCTCCCGCGCTCAGACCAAGGTGTGCCAGGGCCACACCAGCCCCGTTTCACTGCTGATGAGATCCAAAGTGACCTGAGACCATGAGTGCAGTGGAAAACATAGGACCCGGCTCCGCATGAACAGCTCCTGACCTGGCTCTGTTTTAGAAAAGACTGCACGTGAGTAAGAAGAAACAAGAACACAGCAACCGCAAGCCAAGCATAAGGATACACCACTGCAATATACAGGGTCATAAGTACTGCGCCTAGCCTGCCACCACAGAAATCTGATGGAGATCCAGGGCAGGAGTTCACACAAAACTGCAAAAACTCGACACTAACACACGACATTCACTTCGTCCTCATTCGCGGGGTGCGCCATGCACAGCTGATCCGACAGAAGAACACAAACCCTCGTCTCTGGCTGTGCTGCCTCATCCAGAGGACGTCTGGTCCAGTTCCACAGAGCCAGCAGCCTCCATCTTCCCTGAACAAGTCGTATTACACTTGTTTCTCATCAGATTACAGACATTAGCTGAGTGGGGATGGATTCAATCACAGAGCAGATTCCAGACCTCCTCAGAACTTACTGCCCAACGCATTCCTTCCATTACTAAACTGCAACCAAACGAGGATTATATTATTTAAATAATACTACCTTGATAGGGCAATGCCATAAAATGGCAAAACTCCTCGTAGGAACCACACTGATCAAATACAAGAGCCGCTGACGTTACCCACCAGATTTGCACTATGAACATTGCATAAACCTAATTGTTCAGTGCCTTTACTCTGTACTGTGAACACAAACCCGATTCAGAGGGCACTTCAGCACAGGGCTAAAAGCTTCCAAAGCCTCAGAAGCAAGGAGAAAAGGTGTTGCAGCAAAGTACAGACTTCTGCATTTCAAAGATCATCTGATATAATTTGTTTTTGCACAAGATGCAAACCTCTACCCCAAAAGGCAAGGTTTTCAATCTGCAAGGGACTAAGGGTAGACACAACAGAGAAAGGGCTTTGGAAAGCTCTGAGAGAGGCAGTTCCCCAAACAAACTCGCGCTTTAAGAAGTAAGGCAGCATTTTGGAACACCTTAAACGGATACGACAACTTTGAGGAACAGCCACTCCTCCGTCCTTTGAGCTCGAGTGAGATACGCGCTCTGCACCAAGGCGTTTTATACAAATGTCTGGGGCAGAAACGTGTGGTGAAAAGACCTAGATTCAGGAATCAACAGGAGATCAGAAGCCGAAGGCACAAATTTAAGCATACACTCAAATTATCCCCATTCACAAATGCATTCTTGACACATTCTGAAGAAGCTGTGCATAGAAGGAAGAGGCAGAGGAACAAGGCTGGCGAGAAGACGGATGGCCATTAAACCTAACACTACCTGTAAGAAAATGCTTTTAGGTTACCAAGGACAGCCGAGGACAGCTTTGATGACAGCCTATTACCCTGGCACGCACTACAGATACGGGGTGCAGCAGGTGAAGGTCATACGTAAAACAACCACCGAGAAACAGCACCCACCGCACGCGGCCTCGGGGCGAGCGCGGTCCCCACCGACTGAGGCGTTGCTGCTCCAAGGCCCTGGACTCGGCCTTACCAAACAAAGCTGCATGCTCACCTCACACACATCTCTGGGCACTTGGGCATCCACAGATTTAAAGGAAAACACGTTCTTCGGTGAAAATTCACCGACGGCGTTTCTCATTAGTGACAGCTCATGCAACATCTTAAGTCTTAAGTCTCATTCTTTGTACTACACAGATCTGACAGGGTCCTCTCTTAAAAGCGCTCTCCGCAACTGACCAATCTATGGTGTTTGTCTTTCAGTGAAAAACTCTTTCAGAAGCTATCTTCCTACTCAAATCTACATTTAACTCTAACTATATTGCCCACATGCAAGTACATGAAAACAAAGTCAAGCCGAATACCTCAGGTCAGTTTTCCGAGGGAAAAGTCTCCTCTTCCCACTGCAGTGGGTTTCAAAATCATCCGTTGTCAGTCTGTGTGCGTAGTCCACGTACGCGGACACCTCCTGGCGACGGGAATTTCGGTCACGAATGAAGATTATGGACTGGACAACACAAAGCAGGCCACGAATTCAGAACAGAAACATAGCAGTGTGCACAGGTTTCTGCACAAAAACACTTCTACAGAGTACACACACGTTTTAACTTCACCTGGACCAGGCTTCTGTTAGGAGTTAAGACACCTAAATTACCCCATGTTAGAGCACACTCTCAATACAGGCTCGGCAGCATTGCGGTAGAAGTAAACACAAACGCAGCATCACGCACCGTATGCCCCCGTGTACCCCTCGTGTACTGCCGTGCCTCCACTGCCATGTGGGAAGGGTTCCCCGCAGGCCCTGGGCAGTGCTGCCCCCGCCACTGCATCCTGACCGGACCCTTTGTGTGAGCTCCTGACCAGGGGTGGTTGTGTCACGACGCTGCTGTCTATGCGTTTTGGAGCAGGACCCACGTAACCGAGCGCTGCGTGCAGAGGCTATTGGGCAGGTGAATTTTCACAGTATTGGTTAGCTGCACACATTTGTCTTTGCTCAGCAAACACCAAGTGATATTTCTCTTCTGAATACGGGGGAAATGGAAACACCACCACGTGAAACTCTTCCCAGAACCAGTCGTTATTTTAGCAGCAGCCTGTTTCTACAGTGCAATGGTTTATCTGGCAAACCCGAGGCAGGTTTCCTTTTCCGATCTCACGTGCAATTCCACCAAAACGCGTCACTCGTCCTGCAGTGTCGCACCTCCCACGGCCGACCATCCCAAAGCTCAGTCTATCAGGTCCTGGCACCCTGCTCTGCACCCCATCCTGTGTCTGCAGCCCAGGGCAGGGGGGCAGCAATGGCAGCAAGGACCCTGTAGAGCGCAGAGCGAGGCAGCCGGTGGCGCACCCAGCGGAACAGAGGGGTGCGAACGGCCACGCTCCGGATCCACGCAGGGAAAAAGAGAAACCAGAAACGCTGCGCGGGCAGGAAAGACACAAACACTGCTTTTCTGCAGCCATCATGTGTGAACACTGCCAAAAGATTCTCCACACAATAACGCCATTGTAGACTGCTCTGGGAGCACGACAGACTTTACTAAGAGGCGCAAATTACATTCACCTCCTGCTTACGGTTTGCTGGTACTGCGCTGGAGTTAAGGTGGGCACAAGTCAGGCCCAAAAGCAGACCCAGGTTGTACTGGGTTTTCCCAGGTTTTGAAGCGTGTTCTCCAAATGCTGCCGAAATAATCTGGTCAAACGACACCGAGGCCTTCCCCCCTTTATCTTTAAAGGAAACAAACAACTCTGCGCAGTTTCCAGACGAAATCTGAGAAAACACGGCCTGTTGGGGTCCAGCTCCATTTGCGAACTCCCAGCTCGTGAGGAGAAGCACAAACACCACCTGCACTGACTCACTCCCACACCCATTACTGCCAGCGCTGAAGTCTGTTTGCTAGAACCGGTCCTGGCTCTCAGCAAGACCTCCTGGTGGACATGGAAACGCCAGCACCTGCCCATCATCTTAAGGATACGTGTACGCACCGTGAGACGGGCTCAGCACCCAAACGCAGGCCTGCTGCCGCTGACCCGGCCTGCCACGTTCCAGGAGAACCTGTCTGCATGTTTCGCTATTTCTTTAACATCACTAGAAAGCATCACACACCCCAGTCAGGCTTAATGTGGTTCTCTGAAACACTCCACATCTGCAGGACCGCTTCTCTCCGGTCAGAGCAGGGTGAACCAGGCTCCAGCCCAAGGCACCACACGCTCTGTGCCCCGCTGTCCAGGCACCAGCGCTGCTGCCGCCGATGTGCTGGGACGAGAAACACCCACACCTGAGAGCCCCCCGCGTACCAGAACAGCGTCTTCATTCCTCATCGTGGAAGCAGCAAAGGACCCAGCAAGGGCTAACGCTGTGTGTAAGACCAATTAATACACCTGGGAGGGGGACAAACAGCGGGTGCTTCCTAGGGTTAAAAGGCGAGGGTGTCAGTTATCTCAGGAAAGCTCTCGGGAAAGCCTTTGATTTGCAGCATCCCTGCTGCTGCTCTGAATGAACACAGTTCAATGCGACTTCTGTTCCAGCACGGTCCACGGACACGTCCCAAGCACCAACTACAGCAGGTTTTTAACTGCTCCAAGGGCTGTGCTGGACCTGCGAGACGCGGTGCAGCTCCCTGTGACATTCCCGCCGTGCACCCATTCGTTCAAGAGCCACGCAGCTGAGCAGGCACAATAACCACACGGGAATTAAGGAGCCCAGCCCTGCTGTCTGGTGAAACGGCCTCGTAACGCGTGTTCAACAGCGCCCAAACCGACGGCAGACGACGGGAAAGTCAAGACAGACAATATTTAGGAGTCAATTACTAAGTCACTGAGGGAGCCCTTTTTATGGGGACAATATCACAGGTGGGGACCCAGGGGAAGGAGCACAATTAGGCTGGAAGGGACAGGAGTAAAACACATTACCAACTGAAATATATTTTTAATGAGTAGCCATTTATTTCTGTTGCAGGGTGTTAGGCCTTATTTGCCACCTGCAGATCGCGTTACACCTGATAGAAATACCAGTGGGCAACAGAAGTCAGAGAGGGAGCTCACCTCTATCTTTAAAACAGATGCTATTGCCATGTCTGCTCTGCAAGCAGGAGTAAATGGCCGACCTGTTCTCCTGGCCGGCTGGGACTGAAAGCACCATAAAACACAGGCTTACGGGTTGCGATTTCACCTCCTGGACACCCCGATTTTGGGTGAAGGGGGGGTCAAAGAAGAAACACGTTGTCTTTTCAGCAGAGGGACTGCACCACCATCACAGCGAGCCTTGAAAGCGCTCTGCGACATTCCCACCTTTCCATCTGGAAATGCCATTCGCTTCCTTATGAAACATTTGTGAATCTTGTAATAGATTACTGCAGCTTCCTCCCCCTATACCCAAAAATGCCAACTGGGCTCTTGGAACGCAGACATCTTTTACCTGCCTGTTACTGTTCCAAAGAAGAAAAACCGAGGAGCTCGGGAGCAAGCACAGGACGACACAAGCCTTTAGTCTTCTCATCTACGTAAAACAACCCGGATGTGGTCTAAAGGTAAATGCAAATAAATTAGAAAGAATAATTTTAGCTTGGAGCAGAGGAGACTGAGGGGTGCCCTCATTGCTGGGGATCCATTGGGAAAGGGCAGTGTCAGGAGGAAGGAGCCAGGCTCTGCTCTGGGATGGCCAATGCCAGGACAAGGGGCAATGGTCCCAAGCTGGAGCACAGGAGGTTCATGTGAACATGAGGACAAACTTTGTCAGTGTGAGGGTCCAGAGCATGGCCCAGGCTGCCCAGAGAGGTTGTGGAGTCTCCTTGTGTGGAGACACCCAAAGCCCTGGCCGTGTTCCTGTGTGACTGCTCTGGTGATCCTGCTCTAGGGGGGTTGCACTGGGGGAGCTTTCCAGGGCCCTGCCAACTCCTGATGTTCTGGGATTGTGTGAATAAGAGATGCTAACACACATTCACACAAATACAAAATTACTGTTTGCCTTGTTGTTTTTTCTCACTTAAAACACCTCGAAGCTCCGACTGTTCGGCTCTACCCACTTTCTCTGTCGAGCACCCGAGCGCTGGACTCCAGCCCCAGGGAGCACTGCCCGGTGCTAAACCAGACACCAGAGCACGGGGAAATAAGTACCCATATTTATCTCACATATTATCCTATATTCCGTATTTAGCCCCACAAACACAGACACAAAAGCTGAGTCGTCACATAAAGCAGTACACACTGTACCCCATACAGGCTGCACAGCTGCTAAAGCTATTGCTCCAGGCCCCACAGCACAGTTGTCAGATGCAGTACAGCTTGCGAGGTGTCCAGATAAGGAATAGCTGCCGCAGTGAAGGATCTTAGGCTTTACTTCTGCCCATCTGAATGCTGTGCTTTGCTGCCAGCCCAAGGGCACCAGACGCAGCGTCCGGGGATGACTTCAATGCAGAGGCACCCAGGAACGGCCCCAGGCTGGGGCTGCCCCCACCCCAAGCACTGGGGTTCAGACCCAACCCACAGCCCGTACCCTCTCTATTTTTACTTTTAAGAGAAAGCAGGGCAAGGACATAAGAAAAGAAACCCCACTTAATTATAATTTAATTTAAATAAGCATTCGAGGTAGAGAAAACATGGTTCTCTGTCACCAGGGACAAATCACTTGAGAAGCTGGGATCGTGCGTGCCCAACGCTGTCACCTGTCCTAACAGGCCCTGCACACTTCTGCTCCAACAGCAGTCCCCGATTGTTCAGACCATGCAATCTCTGCACAGACAGGACCCCAACTCACTGAATTCCAGCCCCTTTGCAAGCAGCAGCGCTGCAGAAACAGCCCGAGGGGACAGCGCGGTGACAAGGCTCAAGGCTGGCTACGTGGCACCCCAGCAGCGGGGCTGGGGCAGGAGCCCGCAGCTCCACACCAGTGTGCCTTGTCCAACAGCTCCTGCACCTCCCAGGGCAGTCTGGGGCCCGTTTCAGAGGCGCTGGCACAGAGACGCACTCACAACCACCAAACCCAGCCTTTCTGAACCCGAGCGGCAGTGTTTGTGGGAAAGGAGGGCTGGCCAAGAGGCAGATGTTCGAGATTTACACTCTTCGGAGAAGAAAACAAGGAATGTGGTTCCCCCTCAGAAGAAGCTGTTTGCTGTGTGTGAAACATGTGCTCCCCAGCCCCTGCCCTCCGCTACCGCAGCTGCTCCGACGGGGGGACGCTCTGCGACTGCGAATTTGCCTATCTGTGTAAACAGGGCGGTGCGCCAGTTCGAAAACGATATTCTGGCCGAGAGCAGCCTGCGGAGAATATGGGTTCAGATTAACTCTGCTAGCGTCGAAATAAAAGAGCTTATTAAAACCAGAAGTGCACGCAGAACCCAGCATTTGCTCAGACAGACACGAGTTGTCAGCGTTAGCAGCCAGAAGGGAGCCACGGTAGCCGTTTGGGTCCTGCTACCGCGGAACAAGAGGAGCATTAGCTCTGCAGTTCAACGAGGAACAGGCATCGAATATAATGAAAAGTTTAATTACAGTTCTGAGCGCTTGCTCCAATCCCACAGCCAGGGATGGCCCTGCACAGAGAAAGTCTGGAAAACCAGACTTGAATGAACGTGGAAAACTTCACAGAAAAGATCCTTTGTCAACCAAAGCCTTCCATGACACTGAAATCCTTTAAAACAGCATCCCTGAAACACAGTTCAGTAAAGCAAGCTGCCCTGCAGGTAAGTCCCTGATGAAATCGACTGAAATTCCTGGATGGTTTCACCATTTTCTCAGTATTTGCCTCAGTTCTGAGCCCTTCAGTGCCAGTGTTTGTTTAGCACTGGAACAACCCAGAAGGAAAAAAGCACCACTCGCCTGTCCTCTCATTTCACTCCAGATACATCAGCTCTGAGTGTGTTCTACAGCCACGTATTTCGCTGTCGGCAGCAAGTCAGTGGTACGTACAGATATTCCAAATCACGGTTACAGCTGATGCTGTATCACAAGAGGAACCGTGTATGACACCTCAACCACCCCCAAAGGAAAGCTGACCGACCCAGGGCTGCCGAGGCATCCTCCAAGTCGAGACCACCGTGGCCACAATACACGCTGACGTACACTGCACGTGCTCCTGCCACAGCAGGGACACACGGAGGTGAAACAGCCCTTGTCAAAGGCGATTTGCTGGCCGATGGTAAAAGCAGCGATCAGACCCTGGGAAAGCTCTGTCCTTGGGTCAGAAAAACAGAAAACCGTCAGAATACAGTCCACCGAAATGCACTCCTGTCCCCGAAGGGACCAACAGCACACATCTGGGAAAATGCAGATAGAAGGGCAGGTGTCTGACGCCTCCTCAGCGCAGGATCCTAACCCTGTTGACCTGCAGCTCCAGCATTTTCTAAACCAGTGCTTTTTAAAACTTGGCCATAGGTTTTATTGACTAAATCTTCCCTGTGAGTTAGAGGACGTGTTGCGGGTCAGACAATAGATGCTATTGCAAGTGTAGCTGAACATACGGTCACTTTAGACTTTGCCAAAGTAATCGCGGGTCAGCCGCCAGCCCTGGTACCGTAGGAAATGAGCACGCAGAAAGAAACACACAAATTCAAGTCACTTTCCCTGCTGATTCACTGAAACGTACATTTCTGGTCATCTTGCCACTCTGTGTACCTTAAAAACGTAAACCATTAGATAAATCAGCAAAAGATTTCAGGCTGCGAAGCCCATGGAAGAAATGCAGGCTTTTTTCCAAGAATCTCAACTTTCAAAAGTCCACAAATATTGCTTAAGGGTTTTGGGTTGAGGTTTTCTTTTCCCTTCACCTCGCTCTCCTGTACCTGCTCCACCAAAAGGGCATCAAAGTATTTTCCCTGGCAAACACCTCATTTATGAATAAATACGTAGCAAGGCATCACAAACTAGAATAATAAGGGTAAGCCTTAAAGTCAATGAAAGGGACTGCTCAAACCCTGCATAAATATCATACCAACTGGATTTCCCTGGGCCAGACAACAGCGCTGCCACACAGACGGCTCCTTTATCACACGTTGGTCATCACCATTCTTCCTCTGACAGAAATTCTTAAAAAAAGAAATCATTTATTTTCTATTAATTGGTCAAGTACCATTTTGTGGCACCAGGCTTATCCTGGTGGTGTTTCTCAAACCTGTGTGGACACCAGGCCCGGAGCAGGCTTCCTGTGGTACCAGGCCCAGAGTAGGCTCCCCGTGATGCCAGGATCGAGCAGGGTCCCCGTGATACCAGGCCCCAGCAGGCTCCCCGTGATACCAGGATCGAGCACGGTCCCTGTGATACCAGGCCTCGAGCAGGGTCCCCATGATACCAGGATCAAGCAGGGTCCCCGTGATACCAGGCCCCGAGCAGGGTTCCCTGTGATACCAGGTCTCGAGCAGGGTCCCCGTGATACCAGGATTGAGCAGGGTCCCCGTGATACCACCAGGCCTCAAGCAGGGTCCCCGTAGTGCCAGGCCCCAAGCAGGCTCTCCACCAGGCCCAGGGCAGGCTCCCCATGGCGCCAGGCCTCGAGCAGGGTCACTGTGGTGCCAGGCCCCGAGAAGGGTCCCCGTGATACCAGGCCCCAAGCAGGGTCCCCATGGCGCCAGTCCCCGAGCAGGGTCCCCACCAGGCCTAGGGCAGGCTCCCTGTGGCGCCAGGCCCCGGGCAGGAGGCAGGAACAATCCAGCAGTGTTCGGGTGCCGCAGGTGTCCGGGGTGGGCAGCCACCGCTGTTTGCTGTTGCTGTGCTGGTGCGGGGAGCCCGGCCAGGCCACACCAACAGCTCTGTGCCAACGGGTCAGGGAAAGGAAAACAGAGCCCGTGCGGCGGGAGCCTTTGGGGGCCGGGGCTTGGCTGGCACGGCCTGGCCTCGCTCCTCTATAGGTGCTACTTAAAAATTGCTACTTGTTTGACTTGGAAGCGGCTCCACATAGCTGAGGCTGCGTGAGCTCTGCGTGGCGGGGAGGCGGCTGCAGGCAGGTGTGCTGCTTTTGATGGCACGTCCTGGAGCAACGCTTCCCCTGCCCAGTGCCGAGGGGCTTTCTCTTTAGAAGTCTGTTTGTACAATTTGTTTTCCAGTCGAGAAAAATTACTGTAAAAATAGTAAAGGATTCATTTGCATGTCTTTGAACTTTCGGGGTCTGTTTTGGTTTTTTGTTTTCAGTTTCTTTTGACAGAAAAAAAAAAAGACCTCTTACAATCACACAGGAAAAGCATATGAGCAATTAACTTCATTCCAAATATTTTCTAATTTTCCACTGACCTAAAACACGATCCGTGCCGCCCATTCGGTGCTGATAACGGCTGCAGAATCTCCTGCAGTTACATTTTCTCTGTTTCTTTATAAAGCAGGACTCCCATGGAGCTGTGGGATCAGACCAGCGGCTCGGCCTCAGCAACCCAGCTGTCCCCAGAGCCGCGGTTTCAGAGGCGGCC